TCACCTTGATGGCAGATGAAGGGAAGCTTAGCTCCACAAGAATTGGGAACCCACTCATGGTCTGTATTTTCAGCAAAACAGTGTTGACCATTAGATAACTTGAAACTGGGATGCCTGTTCCTGAAGGAGCTTTGGCTCCGGTCAGACCAAGTCCAGGGGTTCCTGTACAGACCGATCCAATACCAACCAGTGCCCAGTGTTGCAGTGAAGGCCTCAGTGTTTTCTGCCTCATTCTCAATCATGGCCAAGTCGGTGAAGTGTTCCCTGCAGTGCTGCTGAGCAGACTGCCATGTTTTGCTGGTTGGGATGTGGAAATAGTTTTTCTTGTTGTTCTCTGAAACTGCAGCAGAAAATAACCCACAGTGAGTTCAGTTACTCCTCTCAGATATTAACAACAGATTCCCACAACTTGGATCCCGTTTAGCTGAATTAGAAGCTACATGTCTCACTAAATGAGCACACTAACTTAAATCTATTATCTGGTAAAACTTATTCATTTTAGCTTTAAGTTTTCTAACTCCTCACTGGCTGCTCAGATCTGCAGAGAAACCACTTCAGCAAGAAGGCAAAAAGGGAGTGGTTACATTTTTCAGTCAGACACAAAACCTGAAACAGAACCTAATTTTTCATGCTTTAGGTTTGGATCAAATAAAAGAAACTTAAAATGACTCACAAGCTCTTGATTGCTATTCATTTTTTTAAATCAATAAAGTGTCATATTACCGTTGTAGCAGACAAATCCTTTGGTCCCTTCACAGCTCACATCATCCCATCTTCCAGTATAACTCATCTCTACACATGCTTTATTTTGATAGGCATAATTTGGTTGTCCACTGAACCAGGTTGTCTGGTACCCGGTTCTGCTGGTTTCTCCTGTTGCTGACCACCTCCAAGAGTTGGTGTCATTGCCCATGGAGGTTTTCCAGTTTTCAGGGTCATCCCAGAGTCCGAACCAGGCCCAGGAATAAGAGAAATCAGCTTTCAGCCTGCTGAGGTCATCCATGCTGTCAAAGGTGGCCAGGTCGGTGTATTTCTCTCTGCAGAACTGTCGGGCTTCGGTCCAG